AACCATTTCATTATTGGTTAAATTAACCAATAAGAATTAATTGATATTTATTAGTATACCATCATCAACTGGTTACTACAACCATTTTATTTTGGTATAGTTTTCACATTTGCACTGGTCAAAAACTAACCAATTATCATTGGTAGTTTCAACCAATTTAGTGCCGGAAATGGTTATATTAACCAATGAAAATGGGTATTTATGAGCATACCATTAACAATTGGTTCTTATAACCATTTTATTTTGGTATAGTTTTTCACATTTGTACTTGTCAAAAATAACCAATTAACATTGGTAGTTTCAACCAATTTGAAATGGTTATGACCATTAATATTGGTCGTTTAATTTCAACCAATGCACAGTATCCAACATTCACATTTTTGGCGCAAATATTTGGCTATTTCGATTCTTTGCCTGCCAAAGAACAGGAATGTATTCTATTATATTCACATGAAATAAGCTGTTATGAAAGTAATACGTATTTAATATGCACCTGCAATAGCAGTTCTGATTGTTGTGACGTTGCTCCATACTCCGTACCCTACTTGCTTGATGGCCTTAATTGAGACATTGTATTCAGTGTATGGCTTTAAATCGGTCACAGTATAACTCTGGTAATCACCAATAACTTTATGGGTTGTGTTTCCCACTTTCACTAGGTATCCAGTGATATGGTCAGTARGACTGCATTTTTCGTAGGTCCATGTCAATGTTAATGAACGTTTGTCGGGAATAAATTCCATACGAGGTGGTTCTGGGGGGAAAACATTAACAAGTTTGAAACTCAATCTTAATAAAGTTGGTTCTTTTTTCATTGTTTCTTCAGTTTAAAAAGAAATTGAACTTCCAAATATTTAATATCTAAAGAAATGGCTGCTTTAAAACCTTTTTCTACGACGGTCTTTGATTATCATCCAGAGAATGTCGTAAAATGGCCAAAATATGTTGGCATAGAATCATCACCGTCATTATCGTTCAGTTTGTTTGCTGAGCCATTTAAAAATGTTAGTATTTCCAGTCTAAAGAAGTCAACACACATTAAAGAAAAATGCGTACAGGAAGATAGGACACATATGCCTGACAAATTCAAATCGGTTAGAGCTGTGATCCGCCATCATACATGGACTGTATAGCAGCTGCTAGAAACGCCTTCACATGCTTTCAGTTCTATCCTGTTGAGCTGCGCCACTGCTGTCTTTGCGGTGGTGATAAGCGATGACGAGTTTTTAATTTTTATGCTTATTATTTTAATTTTAGCTTGAAAGTATTWTAATGGCATGCGCATCGACCGACACCTCTCAGAAATTTGACTAAGATCTAAAAGTCCATACATACTGATGTGCGCCTAAGCCACTACTGTACAATTTTAGTGCTTTACAAAAATGAGGAAAGGGAAAACAACGAAAACGGATAGAGGTAGCCGATCACTGTTTAAAACACTAGAATGCCGAGACAAAATACTTACCTTGGTTAGTAACGTAAACGTTGACTCTCATTATCTTGTGATTATGATATTCCACTGGTACGAATCGAATGTACCTTGCAAGTTGAGGGTTTGTAAGATCATGACGTACTACACTGTTAGAGTCGGTGTTTCCTTTGAAGAACTGAAAAGTAAAACCATCACTAAAAAGATTGTGAAATTGGGATGAATAGAAGTGATCCAAGAAACAGTTTTGCTTTGTTTTTAATGCAGTAAATTTATAAATGGCCAGCATCCCGGCCAAGAATCCTTTGTTAAGAATAATATTTTAGCGAAGATCGAAAACAACTTTTTTTTTTTTTTTCATATTTAATTCTAAGACCCATGTCAAACATTTACAAATTTCTTTAGTTTTCTGTATTGTTTTTGAAATTACCTTTAAATTTCCAAATTCATCTTTGTAAGTATACAATAGTGTTATGTTATTTGTTGCTAAATACAGCTTGTATTTTGTCACCCATTCATTAGTGTAACCATTTCCTTGTGTTGCTACAGCAGTAATAACACGTGAAGTACCGAGGTCAAWCTGTAGGTAGTCATCAGGATTAAGTGCAGTTATTGCTGTCCATCCATATTTGCCATTCAGCTTGGCATTGTAAGGTGCATATCGAACATCATCTGGGATGTCTGGGCTTTTAAAATAAGATGAGGCTGTGTAACTGCTGTCTGATAGTTTCAGATTTCTCTCCTTTCCAACAAGAGATTGCTCTGGACACCCTAATGCAACCAATAAACATAAAACCTTCATTAAAAAAAACAACGTAGCGTACTGATCGTAGCCTAGTTGATGATGGGGCTGTGTAACCTCTGTCAGGTAGTTTAAAATAGTTATTTGTTGATTACCGAACAGCGTTAACTACTTCCTTATAAAATTTGTTTTTCAAAACATCGGTAATTATAAGTCGAGTGAACTTATTACGTGATTACCTAGGTGTTTAGATTTCTACTGCGTGAAGATGTCTTTCTTGGATACAGCTGCTGATTGAAGATGATGAAGACACGTTCACGGATAAGCTATCCTATTTGATATCAGGCGCGCCCTTCCCTCTTCCCTTAGCTAAACTACTGTTACTTTATTGGGCGCTACACGATTRAATAATAGCTGTAGAGCAAACATAAGTGATTTATTTCTGTTGTATTTTACCATACTCAATGTCTTTCCCAGCTGCATAAGGTCCTTCCTTGACTGTAGTCGCASTTATCTTGTATGATAGTATTCCATTCTTTATTCCATTGATAGTGTAGGTGAGATCAGCTGATCCACTGATAGTGACTGTCTTGCTATTGGATGTATCCATGTTGTAGTAGTATACGATGGTGTACTTCCTGATGATGCCATTAGGTTCTCGTGGTCTATCCCACGTGATAACAGCACGTGGTCCAAAGGAGCCTTGTGCAGGTATCAAAGCACCAGTGACATTTACTGGAGCAGAAGGAGCTTAAAGAAAGAAATACATTACTTCTAAAATTGTTTTATTTTTGCCACTTGATTTTGTTTACAGCCTTTTAGTAGACTATTATCTAACAGAATCTCCATTCTTTCTTTCGCTTGAGGGAAAAAGTCCTCTGCTCGGGCGTAAAGTTTTCCCGTTTCAGACCACGTTTCATTCTCTTTAGAATAAGATTATCTGTTTAAATTCACATTCATGYGTCTTCTCATGTGCAACCGAGCGCAACCATTAAACAACTGAGAAATGATACGCTATAGAATGAAACTACTGAAGATAAAACTTTCTATGCACATGCCAACCCTGGTGACATAAATGTCTGGGAGGAGAGACTACATACAACATGCTCTCGATCAGCTGTCTTCTTGGTCTCACGACAACAACCTTACCTTAAACCTACAGAAARCCAAATATGTGCTAATGTCCACTCAACAACTTGCGCGTGCTCATCAGCTAGATGACTACCAAGCCAGCCTGTYTGTCAATGGACAAGTGCTAGAAATGACTACTTCAACTCGTCTTCTTGGTACTGAGATTTATAAACATTTTAAGTGGAACAATGATATCAACTCAACGATCTCTAGTTGCTATGTGACTTAAAATGTTCTTAGAAAACTGAAAAACGTTGTTCCATTTCACACAAGGAAACAGTTAATCGAATCAGGTACATTTCAGGATAGTGCATCCAAGATATTTAATTCCCTTYCAAAAGACATTAGAAACTGTACCAACTTWAATGATYAATTTAGTCTTAGTAAACAATTCTTTTATGCTCAAGCACATAACAGCTAGACGCTCATAGTCTTTTAAGGACATTCCCTTATTCATTTATTGTAAATTCATAGTATTTTTTGTTTTTGTTTTTGCTTTTGTTTTGTTGTTGTTTTATTATTACAAGTTTTCTTGTATTAATATATTTTCAGAATGGAAGAGGAGGAGGAAGAAGAATTTTTGCGTGTGTGAATTTCGGTTCAGTGTGTTCTTCGCCCTCTTCCTCTTCTTTTCTTTGTACTTTACTATGACTCAAGCTTGCTAGTTTTTTTATATAAGTGTGTACATTTGTCTATTACTGTAGATATTTAGCATTGTAAGAGCCAAATTTATTGTTTGGATATTGCTAATAAACCGTTATTATTATTATTATTCATGAAACGACGTGATCTGAAATGGAAAACATTACGAACGAGGTAAGGAGGATCATTAAGAAGAGACTATGCCAACAGGGTAGTGGACAATATTTTACCATCTTCCTTTGTTCTTATCTTTGTTGTCTCRCTCCATGATCCATTTACACGTCGTGTTCTTGCTAACACCCTTACGTTGTATTCTGTGTATGGCTTCAGACCCGTTATATGATACTGCCTGTCACTGCTGCTTACGTAAAKCGGATCTYTRATTCCATTGCTTATGACAAATCCAGTTATGGGGTCTGCTGGATTGCACTGTTTGAAAGTCCAGCTTATTTGGATTGACCTTTGTTGAGGGATTGCTGATACCACGGGTGCTTCTGGAGAGAAAGATAAAAACACCTTTACRAAAAGTCAAGGAAAATGCACTCTTCGAATCGTTTATTTTTATATGCAGGATTAAATAGAAAAACCAACACAAAACATACTGGACCAAGCTAGCTGGAACATACATACCTTGGTAAAAAACACYAATGTTCATGTCAACGCGTATCGTCTTGTAATTATGAAAGGTAACCGGGACAAACCTGATGTACCTTGCTGTTATCGGGTTTTGACTAAGATCGTGACGTTTTACTCCATTGCTGTCTGTATTGCCTTCAAAGATCTAAAAATGTATACATTAAATAAWACTTCTAACCGGATCGTTATTACTTACCGCAAGTAGTAATAAAAATCATCGTAATGACCATTAGAACCATCATCAGAGAAGCGAATGTATGCTAGCAGAGTCTGCACAAACGATTTTTACGCCTTTAGTATAGTCACTACAACGGGAGATATGGCAGATGAGTGCAGATAACTTGAACCATTTTTTTTTCTTGGAGGTTCGAGTTACCGGGATTCTGTAATTAACCGCGAACGACACTATATATAAGTATTTATATAGTGCATAGTTTATCGCGTACATCATTCGAATTGAACGCGCGTGATTCCAAAGCGTAGTAGTGTACCGGAGTGTTGTTCATAAACAGCAGTAAATTACAGTTGAATCCCGGTAACTCGAACGGTTCGAGGTATCGGGAAATGAGAATAAATTACCGTGTTTTAGCTTTTATTCAAACATATTGAGTTTTAATCAGATTTATAACGGAGAAAGGTTAAAAACGAACAAGATTTCCAGTATTTATTTGGCTTATACACAGAACTAAGCAGCAAAGGTCGATAAAAACAAGGTGAAAGGACTTTCTTCCTCCTCCGATTYATAGTGCACTTTCATGGCGTGTACAAAAAAAGTGTTCTCACAGGAATGAACTAAACACGTTTTGTATTTTGCAAATTAACTGTTGCTTTAAAATTTTAAACACTTTTAATTTAAAGATATTCTAGCGTATGTTTTGACTCGTCTTGAAACAAAGTTCGAGTTATCGAGGGTCAACTCATATAGAACGCGAACCTGAAAAGAAACGAGAATCGCTTCCAGTTAGCGGGAGTTAATTCGATTTATTGAGGTTCTAATTACCGCAGTCTGCCCACCACTGAACAGTTTGAAATCGGTACAAGTTTACTGTTGCTCCTTGATAGAGGTTTCAGAAGTATCTCATAGAGCAGTGCACAAAGCTCTTTCAAACTCATCCCTCGTCTCGAAACGTTATGATTCATTTGAGTGAATAGTTGAATGAAATTAGCCATTGAACTAGATTGTTGATTTTAAAAATACAAAATATATATCTCGTATAGTATATTATAGTATATTGACATATTTGTAATTTTGACTTCGAGTAAAACCGTATTGTTCTTTGTCCAATCAGAAAYACGTCCAGAATATGGACTCGCAACATGAGTAGAGTCATGTGCTCCTCTCATCATTTCTCCCCCCACCCTCCACTTGGGCCTGAATCTTTGCTAAAACTCAGGTTGCGCTATGTTATAAAGAAATCTGTATTTAAGGTGGAACTAAACTAATTCAGAGCGAATTTTGGACAATTTTGTTCTCGCTCCCTTCGCAAAACTATTGCGTCAATTTAATTGTATTTTTCATATAAT